GCCATTGGGATCTGACATCAGTGAGAAGTGAACACTGGGAATCCTCCAATTAACAGGACCATCGAGGCTTATGAATCGGGGATTCAAGTAACGATGATGAGCACAGAAAATGGGTGGGTGGAGACCTCAGCATGGGGCTTCCCTGGTATCGTCCCCCTTTCTTCTCTAACGTAAAGGGCAGTGCATCGAGGGCGTGACGCTGCATCCAGTGTGATCATGGACCTGCCTCCTTCACCTTTCTGGCTGCTCGATTGGTTTCCTGGTTCATTCTTGATGTGGATTGGGAGGGGCCGGTTCTGTGCACGAACATGTGACCTGCTCCAATTATAGCTGGGGGAAGTTTGGCATCCAAGGATTTCAGGTTTCCCAAGATGCACCCTCTGATGCATGATGGGACAGTGTCAGGGGTCATCCGGAGGTCATCCAGCAGGATCAGCGATAACATCGGAGCCGGAGCCTTGCCCACCCTCCCCAGCTATCTCTACCCAGGAATCAGCAGATGACGGGCAGCCTGGCAACTCTGCAGAGATACCATGTTGTGTCTACTGTTGCTATCAGGAAATGTAAACAGGAGGCCGCTAGGTAGTGAGAAGAAGCAGGGAGGGAATATAAGGGGAGGAATGGGCTGGTCTGAGCAGGACAAAGGCAGGAAGTGGGTGGGTCTGAACAGGACAGAAAGTGGGAAGTAGGCGGGTCTGAGCAGGACGGAAAGTGTAAAGTGGGCGGGTCTGAGCAGGACAAAAGGCGGGAAATGGGTCGGTCTGAGCAGGACGGAAGGTGGGAAGTGGGCGGGTCTGAGCAGGACGGAAGGTGGGAAGTGGGCGAGTCTGATCAGGACGGAAGGTGGGAAGTGGGCGAGTCTGATCAGGACAGAAGGTGAGAAGTAGTTGGTTCTGAGCAGGATGGAAGGAAGCGGGCAATTCAAGCAGGATGGAAGGCAAGAATTGGTTGTGTCCAAGTGGGATGGAAGGCAGGGAGTGGGGTGGTTCTGAGTGGCATGGAAGGAACCGAGTGCAGGACAAAGGGACAGTGACGGCTGGACTTTCCATAATGCCACAAGGTTCAGCATTCATTGTCATAACACACGTGATAGACCCGCTGACCGGTTGGGGACGTGTCCTGATCGGACAGGGTCCTCATGCAGGGGTCGCATTCGAGCGCAGAGGGTGGAGGTCCTCAGATGAAAGGAACGGAGTGGGGTTGGGGAGTGTATGTGTGTGCACTCTACAGCCCACACTCTCCTCACTCTGCTGGCTGTAAAGAGAGAGACTCCCACTGGGTGTGTAAGTTCAGAAAACAACGACAAGCTTGTGTGATCTGTGTTGGGGGGGGGTTCTCTTTGTTTTATCCCATACAGTGAAGGGTGAGGTGAGGCTGTATATTCTCTGACATGAAACTGCATGCAAGGGGAGATGGACTCCCGGGTGCGAGGGTGGGCGGAGGTGGAGGAGGAATGCGGGTCACCTCTGCAAAGAAGTCCGGAGTTGGCAGCTTTCCAGTGCAACGGCGCCTCCCGGGGGGGCAGGCATACGGCAACATAGAGTTCGATTGTCCTCTCAAGTGCCTTCACGCCCCCCCCTCCTCCACCCAGTCAACCACAGCACCTCCATCTGCCAACAGGTTTTGGGGGCCGTGGGAGTAGCCAAGGGGGGGCTTTCCCGTCCTGCCCCCCCACCCCGCCTGTCATCTGCCATGGGGTGTCCCACTCCCTGCTTGCCATGTTCACACGCTCCGTGGCAGGGCCGTGAGGCATAGAGGACCCAGCAGGTCGCATGTTTGCCCACTCGCTGGCTCATCTGGTGTCATCTAAGTTACTCCAATAATGCCACGCTTGGGTGGCTTGTGTTGATTCGCCATTTTCTGTCCCATAAGCAAATTAGGGGGAATTTTTGATATCACACTGGCATTTACCACCGTGACAGCATATCAGTTGATGAATCTCTGCATCTGTATCTAAGTCTGCTCATGAATAACCTCAATGGCTGCCACAATTTTAGACCACAAAGGTAGAAATGCAGATGTACGCCCACACGCAGATGTAACGCCCCACAATCCACTTCTGGACCTGGCAGATAACGGCAGACAATTTTTTAAGATGCATCGTATCTTTACTGCTCGTATTCCCTGATCCCATTTTATGGATGTACTTCATTACAGCCTCTGATTGGCCAGTGAGGTGCCGTTGTTGTGTAAGGTCCTGGAAGGTCCCTTGTGACACCCAACGATGGGTGTGGATCCAAACACCTCCTGACGTCGGTGACTCCTCATGGAGACCCAGAAATGTGTCCCGTTTCTACAGCATTGAGAATATTTTCAGGGAAATAAAAAAGAAATCCTTTCAGTCCAATGCTCAGGAATGTGCTGTAATTTAATTCCAGCACTAAAAACAACTCCAGTTATTTTTTTTTTCCCCTTTCTGAGTTTCTGGCACTTTCCTGGATGTCAACCAGCAATTCCAGGTGAAAACACTTCAATCTGGCTGAGAGGTGGAGGAGGAAGGGGAGGGAGAAAAAAAGTCAATTTGCAAAGTTTCATTTTTCAATTTCCATAATTTTGGCGGCTCTTGTCCAGCGAAGAAACAGGATGTCACAGTACATGGGCGAGGGGCGGGCGGGGAGGGGCTGTCCAAAACATACACACACACCAAGGTGGATTAGGAGGGACTGAAGAAGGAGCCCTGTCCTCCACTGGACAAAAAGGCAAAAAACAAATACAAAGCTTAAGGGAGCAATAAAAAAATTTGGTAAGAAAGAAAATTTGTATTACCTTGAGGTGTAAAAGCAATCCTAAAAGCATGACCTTGGGTAGTGTTGTGGAGAAAATTTCAGCCTCAAACGGACAGCAGGGAACTCCAGTAGCCAGGCGGTTTGTTGTTTTAGCCGTGGAACTCGAGTCGGGGTGAGAGAGAGGGGCAGGGCATGGAGAAAGCAGCGACCCCGAGAGGCTTATAAAGACACATGCCTGTCCCCTGCTCACCAGTTCCAGTCTAGGGTGTGTGAGGTGCTGTGTGTTTTTCCCTGTTTGTTTGCTTTTTTTGTGCAGTGAATGGGATGTTTGAGGAACATCAGGCAGAATGAACAGACAGCATCATTAGTCATTTCTGAAAGGAGGGATTCATGTGTTGAATGACTGGTCACTGTAGACTCACGTCATCTTAGTGTAAATCAACAAGATGGGGGACAAATTAAGCAGCCATCTAATTACCCGGCATGAAATTATGCATTACTGCTGAAGTAAAGACCTGTTATTAACAATCATTATGTCAGTGCTTAAGTAAAGACCTGTTATTAACTGTCACTATATCAGTGCTAAAGTAAAAACCTGTTGCTATCAATATGTCAGTGCATAAGACCTGTTACTAACTGTCACTATATCAGCGCTGAATTAAAGACCTGTTACTAACTTTCACTTTATCAGCACTGAATTAAAGACCTGTTACTGTCACTATGTCAGTGCTTAAATAAAGACCTGTTATTATAACTGTGTCAGTGCTGAAATAAGGACCTGTTACTAACTGTCACTATATCAGCGCTGAATTAAAGACCTGAAACTGTCACTACATTAGTGCTTAAGTAAAGACCTGTTACTAATTGTCACTATGTCAGTGCTTAATTAAAGACCTGTTATTATAACTATGTCAGTGCTGAAATAAGGACCTGTACTAACTGTCATTATATCAGTGCTGAATTAAACACCTGTTACTATCAATATTTCAGTGCATAAATAAAGACCTGTTACTAACTGTTACGATATCAGCACTGAATTAAAGACCTGTTACTGTCACTATGTCAGTGCATAAGTAAAGACCTGTTACTGTCACTATGTCAGTTCTTAAGTAAAGACCTGTTACTGTCACTATGTCAGTGCTGAAATAAGGACCTGTTACTAACTGTCACTAAATCAGTGATGAATTAAAGACCTGTTATTAACTATTACTATGTCAGTGCTGAATTAAAGACCTGTTATGAACTATAACTATGTCAGTGCTGAAATAAGGACCTGTTACTAACTATCATTAAATCAGTGCTGAATCAAATACCTGTTATTAATTATAACTATGTCAGTGCTGAAATAAGGACCTGTTACTAACTATCATTAAATCAGTGCTGAATCAAAGACCTGTTATTAACTATATGTCAGTGCTGAAATAAGGACCTGTTACTAACTGTCATTAAACCAGTGCTGAATTAAAGACCTGTTATTAACTATCACTATGTCAGTGCTGAATTAAAAACCTGTTATTAACTATCACTATGTCAGTGCTGAATTAAAGACCTGTTATTATCTATCACTCTGTCAGTGTTGAATTAAAGACCTGTTATTATCTATCACTCTGTCAGTGTTGAATTAAAGACCTGTTACTAACTGTCACTGCGTCAGTGCTAAGTAAATACTTGACACTAAGGGTGCTTTTCCCCTGCTAAACATGAGCCCTTTTTGTGACAGAGATGGTTTATCCCTTCTGTGACCCCCCCAGGAGGTCCCCTGTACTTTTGGTATGGTACTTTCAGTACTTTCTCTTTTCCATTGGCTTCCGGTCGAGTTCCAGTACCAAAGTTCCAGTACCTAAAGTATCAAACCAGCTGGGGTACTTTTTTGGTACTCATTACTTTGGGGTGGGACTTGCAAACGCGTTCTTTGTTAATTGATTATGTAAATAACCTGCCTCTGAAAGACAATATAACCAGCGTCTTGAAAAAAAAAGTTACATACTTAGAAAACAACAATAAAATAAATAAAAGGAGTAATGATGGGTGCGTGAACAAATGAAAAGAACAGATACAAGAAGATCAGGATGCTACAACATGAAATAAAGTATTTTGTGTAATAAACTAGGACAGTGTATTGGGAACTGCTATTTGAAAATGTCCAAATATCACGATGTGATTTTGATGTAAGAAATTTATGTTGCGTTATATATTTTTACGCAACTATTACCGTGTCGTTGCTGTGCCTGTCATTCGGTAGGGTAAAGGGCTTTTATGTTCACTGTATTCCAGGCCCACCTCGGATCAGCAGGCCGGTGGAAGAGAAGCATGTCGTCCGGTTGGGACACACCGTGCGCCTGCCCTGCCCTGTGGAAGGAGACCCCCCACCCCTGGTACTCTGGGTGAAGGATGGTCGCAATGTGAACCGGGGCTGGGGTCGCTATCGCATCCTGAGACGGAGCCTGAAGATCAGTCAGATAGAGGCCAGCGACGCGGGCATGTACGTCTGCCGCGCCACCAACGGCTTTGGCACCCTGGCGCTCAACTACACCCTGGTCATAGTCGGTGAGTGAGCTCCTCTCTCCTATGAAGGTGCCTCCTGCTGCTATCAGAAAGCCTGCAAAGCGGATAAGGGCTCAGCCTCCGGGTTAGCATTCTGCTGGATCATGTTTGACTTGACTGGCAGAGTTGGCAGCCTCAACACTATTCAGCGAATATGGTTTCATTTCCAGGACACAAAATAAGTATGTACAAGTGTGCATTGTGTAAATGAGAATTTACGGCTAGTTTGCCATATAAAAGAGGTAGAGCTTGTTACTCGGATTTCACGTTGAGTGCAGAGAACAAAGGGCCTTTTTCACCTGAGTGTCTGTCACACAATATGTGTACCGTGGAGGAGCAGCACTTGTTTACCGCACATGTAACCCAACACCATGCTTTTCTGCATTTCCCCTCCACTCCCTCCAGACATATTGGGAACCTCGATGTTGATGAATGTGTTAAGCGTGCCTGGAAATGCGGGTTAAGCAGTGAACCATCTGCTTGATGTGGCCGAGCAGCGCTGTCCTTTCCGCTGGTGATGATGCTATGTAGAAAATCTACGCCATGATTGTCAGAGTATGGAAGAAGGGTGTGGGAAACCCGAAGTCTTCCTGAGTATGGAAGAAGGGTATAAAGAACCCTAAGTCTGCTCGAGTATGGAATAATGGTGTGGGGAACCCAAGGCCTGCCCAAGTACAGAAGAGTGGTTTGAGGAAGCTCATGGCTACTCAAATATGGAAGAAGGATGTGGAGAAGCCAAAACCGGTACTAAGGAATGGTTTGGGGAACCCATAAGCCTGCTTGAGTATAGGAGGATGGTGTGGGGAACTCAAAGCCTTCTTCGGTATAGGAAAAGGGTGTGGGGAACCCAAACCTTGCTCTAGTACAGAAGAATGGTTTGGGGAACCCAGTACATACTCGAGTACAAAAGAAGGGTGTGGGGAATCCAAAGCTTGGTCTAGTCTGGAAGAATGGTTTGGGGAACAGTGTGCTTGCTTAAATATGGCAGAAAGGTTTGGGGAATCCAAAGAATGGAAGAAGGGTGTAGAGAACGCAAAGCCTGCTTGTGTATGGAAAAAGGGTTTGGAGAACCCAAAGCCTGCGATAGTGCAGAAGAAGGGTGTGGAGAATCAATAACCTTGTCCAGAGGGGTAGTCCAAAGGCTGGTTGTCCAGGCTTTCCTTCCGTCTGCTCATTGTGTTTATTTTTTAAACACATCCCCCACAGCTACGTCACAAGGAAATGATTATATTAGCAGCGCATAACCATTTAGCTAGGAAAGAATGCAGCCATTTCGAACAGACATTATTTTCAAGTTTCTATTTATTTTAAGTAGATTCATTTCTGAACATTAGCTTTTATACAAACCAAACAGCACTGCTAAGAGCTGGTCATTCAGTGAAACGAGAGGTGGTTTCTCCTGCCCTGCTTTCTCCCAGGTCTTCTTGAACCCTCAACATTAGCTTAGAATATCACGTAAAACGTTATGCAGTTAACTGTAGGGAAATCCACCGGGGGGAGACACCCGGCTGACTTCAGGGAGATTCATCAGTGTCGGCTGTTCTCAGGTCACACGCTTCTTAGGGGGCAAGCTTGGGCAGGTCTAACGTCTTAGCGGAGCTGCCAGCCCATACCGAAGCAAGGAACAAAGGATTCACATTACTGCCCGTCTGTCTGTGTTCAGGGTCCCGCTTGTCCCTGTGTCACACATGACTTCATTAGTCACTGACTAATTAATCACTTCACAACAAATTAGGGCAAAATGGTGGGTAAGATGACAAACACGTCTTCGAAGCCAGATGGTTTCCAGCAAGGTGGCGTACAAGTCGGCCGACTCGCTTGTCCGAAGGAGAGCAGCACCAGCTTAGAATTGACCACCGTGGATTTCCGTACTAGCTGGGTAACCCTACATCTGCAGCTGACTGTGTGGATTCACACAAAGGAGTTAAACGCTTCCAAGGCTGCCTCGCGATACACTTACGTGGCAAACTGATCCAAGGTGACCTGCGATAAAACCAGTACCATACTGAATCAGGTCAAGCTAGGTGCCTAATTTTAGGGTGCGACTCTCCTTTTGAGAGACCTGGAGGTCTTGGGAATCTTGCCCCTCAGTGGAGCAAGGTCTTCAGCTCCTCCAGCAGCAGCCTGAGGGAGGTGGTAACGCAGCAGCCTGGCTGGCTCGCAGGATGCAGGGGGCAGTGCCTAGAGCCTCTGGCTGGACCCCAGCAGTGTAAACCAGAAGTAGCTACTGTGATTCTCCACAGGACAACGGCCTGGAGTTCACACGGCTGGTCCAGAGGTGGACCTGTGCTGTGTTCTGTTCGTCTATGGTGGTGGGGGGGGGGCATATGTACTGTCCTGTATCCCAGCCAACACTCCCTCACCTGAGGTTAACTATAACAAAATAACTTTGGGGGAGCCAATTTTAGCCCAGGGTGAGACTAAGGTTTCAGCATAACATGTCCATTCTGGTCCGTACCACACATGCAGTGGTTGAGGTGGGGGGGGTGGTATTTGTCCCGCGTTTCAGCGATAAAATTGATGAATAGGTCACTGTGGTCATACCCCCTCAACCTCCCTCTGCTGCCCGCTTGGAAATGCAGTGACTCAGCTTCCAGCAGTGCTATCCAAACGTTTGGGGTGAACCACTCGCAGGATCACTTTTCCTTCGGCCGAGAGAAGGGGGAATATTTGGATTTTCCTGAAGTGAGATGCTTTTTCCTGGGCCCCTCCCACCTCGGGCACTTCTAGCTGTTTTGCCTTCCGTACCAATGAGGATCCTGGGCGCCTTGGGGCGGCACACACCTCACCCCAAGCCGTCTGCAGCTCCGTCGGTCTCTTTCCCTGCAGGAAGGTCACTTCATGACTAATTCTGATAACGGACAGATTGACACCGAGCTCAGTGACGGACCCAGATCCCTCACAATATCCGCCTTTCCTTTGTGTTACTGTCGGGCGAGTTCAAAGCGGAAAGCACATATGGGCACAAATTAATTCATGCTTGCGAGACTTGGTAAAAGGCAAGAGGGGATGAAAGGATGTTTTGATGAAATTGAAACCATTCCCAAATGCAGCACGGCTTCGTCATCGCGTGCCGAGCGAAGCGGCAGGCAAACCCGGGAACCCGAAAATAATCACGAGGAACCTGAGTGGCTGGGTGATGGTGCCGCGGCAGCGTGTTTGCGTGGGAGGCCGGCGGCAGCGTGGCGCGGCAGGACGGGCCGGCTGCACATCGCCCAGCTCTATTTCTGGTGTACCTTGTTCACGTAGGCGGGACTACATTTAGCGTCGCTGCTGCTATTAACGTCAGGCATTCAGGAGCCCCCCCGAACGTGAGTCCTTTTTATGACAGAGACGGGTTGTCCCTCCTGTGACCCCCCCCCGTGGGAGGTCCCCCTCCCAAAAAATGCACCAATGACTTTTAATTAAACGGGAGGAATTCAAACAGTCCACCTCCTAGCGGAGAATGAGAGGATCTAAATAAGTAAATAAGTGAGGAGGAGGAGGGAGAAGAAGAAGAAAAGGTTGGGCGACTTCCTCCTGGCTTGCCGCATGGCTGTTAGAGAAAACCACTAATGGTCCTATAAAAGATAGGAGAGCCTTCTAATTACCCCCACCTCCCATGGCCCGCTGCATCTCCCATGCTGCGTGTGTGCTACAGCTCTCTAATTTGCCCCCCTGTCTCGCCTGGCACCAGGCAACACTGGCACTTAGGAGACGTGTGCCCTGCCCAAAATAGCCCTCGGCAGGCCGGCCACTTCGGGGCCCCGCCCCTTTCCAGGCGTTGGTCGCCCTCTTCATTCCACGGCATCGGCCGGCCACTGGGAAGCTGCTACGTAGCCCTCCTGTTTTGTGCCACTTTCATATAGTGCCTTTTCCGGCAAGCTGGGGCGGATCTAAGGGGTGGCCATGGCTTCCCCTATTAAATACATGGCTACCCCTGTTGCCTCCCCACATCAAAATAATAAAAACAAAATATGGATTAATTTATTTTCTATACAGAGCCTTAGAAGAGACCTCCATAAATATATCTGGTCCCCGACGGCCACCACAATCAATATATACTACTGCCGGCGAGAGCAGAAAGAGGGGCTGCATCTAAGCCATAGATTCCGCGTTCTCATACACACTGTAGCTGGCCTGCTGTGCATCAAGGGATCTAGCCTTATGGAAGGAGGGTGCACACAAACACCAGGAAATGATCCACTTCATGCGGAGCAAAAGAAGTCGAGCGTGAAAGGCTGAACTGAAGTCGTAAGCACGGTCACGCTCACGCCTGGGCTACCGTGATTTTCACTAAGCGGCCATTTCCCTTAACGACCCGGTCGTCAGAACGGAACTCGCTCATTAAACGGGGAGTGGTTGCACAACTTCGCAGTACGCTGGGTCACAATTAGCATCACCAGATGTAACAGGAAGCCACACGCGGCCTCTGCGCTGCAGAACCAACCGCTATTCACTTTCTCCTGTTCGCAGGCGTGAACCTCTCTGCGGCACAGGGCACCTGCACCGTCTCTCACGCTCCTGCGTACGTCTCTCGGTCTGTCACGCCGTGTCGCACATCAGACTGCACATTCCCCGGAGCGTGTGACCTTGTGTTTGCCTCATGTTCCGTTTTGGTCGGGATCTTAGGGGTCTGAGCACCTCACAGTGGTGTGTGCGTGTGTGTGTGTGTGTGTGTGTGAGGGAGTGTGGAGAGCTTCTTCAGTCATCCACACAGCTCTTCTTACCCTCCTCTCTCAGGCTGTACTGGAGGTGTGGGGGATGAGTGTAGGCTGGTAGACTGCTGGTTTTTATGTGATCTCACCTCTGACCTAGTAACAGACCAGCTTGATCTGCCACCAGAGTTTCCTGTTTTTTTAGTCTGGTGGTTACGTGTTTTTAAAGTTGAGCCACGCATTTCACGGGCCCCCTAGTGGCAGCAAACACCACGATTGTGACTCCTATTGCACTGTCATGGTGCCGGTCAGCAGGCTAAGATGACATCAGCGCCATAACAAGGCCCTCACTGAAACCCGCAAGCCGTATACGGCCCCCGATTCCCTGGTGCCAGCAGGTTCACAGTGGAAAAACAGGGAGGGAGGGGCCCGCCACAGCAGGGGCGGCGAGAGCCCCCGCCTTCATGCTAGCATCCACTCTCCGAATCTCTGCCTCTCCCTGCAGGCCACGGATGGCCATGTGACAGAGACGTGCAACAGAAACGGTAGCTTCAGAGTACGTCCTGTTTGGGCTTCGGGAGAATCCAAAATGGTCACTATGGCAGCAGATATCGCCCCTTGGCCGTATGATGTCAGCCTGGGTACCGAGAACACAAAGATAGGTGTGCGCGATGGTGCACTGCCCACAGAGGGGCGTCTCTGAGGCTTGGACGAGGAGCCGGGACTTCAGAGGAAGCCTAAATTTCATAAAACGTCAAAGAAAGACACGGAAAACATATGTCAAGGACCAAAGATTCTTCTAACCCATACGTATCGTGGGATTTTGGATTTCTGTACCTGATCGCGGTCACCGTGATAAAACGAACTTTTTAATCTTTTTCACTTGGAATATTTTAACCTCCAGCTACATGAAGTGAGGTCAGATCAGAGGTAGGCGGCGTGCCTAAACAGACCAGCCTTTTTAAAGCACACACCAAAGCCCCGATTCTCCCCGACGCCGAACACAGGGGCTGTTGATTCAGGAAAAGCCTCACACAAGCCCGTCTCTGAGGGGTGCTTCCCGGGGGGGGGTTCAACACGCAGCCCCGCAGCCCGAGCACGGCGCCCTTTGCGTTACAGGCGCCTAATTGGCGTCCTGCTCAGGGTTATGTCAACACGGGCCTTGTTTTAAACAGCGTGGAAACTCGAGAGGAGCAACAATATCAGGTCTGTTTGTCCGGCCCCTAGCAAGCCCTATAAAAATAATACAACCGTTGGCTGCTTGCGGTTCCCACACAGCCGTAAAACTTTACCCCAGGAGGTAAAGACACACCGGGCTTTGTGCCGTCACACGCCGCTGGCGTGCCCCCACCATGGCCCCTCCCCCCCTGCCAGGTCCCGAAGGACCACAAATAAACTGCGCTGGCCTTTAAGACACACACCTACTTATCGCCTTCCCTGCGGAACAGCTTGTAAAAATCCCAATGTGTAATAGTAGGTTTTCAGGACAGATACATTTTCGTATGATGAGAGGCTTTTTGGAAACACAATTAACCCTCTTAGTTTTGGATAAAAGCTGCCACAACAGGGTTCGTTGACCCGAAACTAAAAGGGTTAATTGTGCTCCCAAAAGGCTTCTCATCATACCACACTATTTGGCTGCCCCATAAACTTTTAAAACTAGTTGGGGGAAAAATGATGAATAAACAAATAACTTTAGGACTTTTCTGATGGGTTTTTTTTTTCAGATTGCATGTTAGCAAGGAGAGAGAAAAGGTAAATAAGAAATAACAGACAGGGTGTGCGTGAGCCAGGCCTCTTTGCATGAAACAGTGCTGGAGTTCGTCAGTAGGAGAGCTATTCAGGATGCCGCCAGGCCCAGATAACAAGCGTAACTGTTGTTTTCCTTCTTGCTATGCAAGATATCTTAAACCCACACTCATTTGTTGTTATACCAAACATTTCGTACGTAGGGATGACTCTGAGACTGTAAATGATGACCGGGGGGGAAGGGGTTGATACAGTCAGCCGCCTGCGTGGAGCGCTTCGACGCCTCGGTTTGTGGGGGGGCCAGCTCTCATCGGGACTTGGCTGGGGCCCTGCTGGGCTTCCCGCTGGGGGCATCTGTGTGATCTGTGTCCTCCCTGCTGCTCTGGGGCCCGTGTTGCCTTTATCCGTTCTACCCCCCTCCACCCCCCACAATATCATTCAGCCTCTTGCTTTATCTTTCAGGCGACTCCGCAGACGCCCAGGCCAGCCCATTAGAGCCCAGCATGGAGCTCTCGAAGCCGGGCCCCACGGAGCAGCCCCTGGGTGAGGCACTCCAGCCTGACTGCTCAAACCACACATTCGTATGGGATCCCCTGTTGGCCACAAATAGTGACTACACTTAATATTAAATAGACACATTCCTTGTTTAGAAGATGCTGAAGCAGCATGTTCCGCTAACCAGCTAGTTAGCTACCATCTTCTGACTCGACTCACTAACTAATGATAAGGCTACATACAACACTGAATTGGTCAAATCCCACGAAAAGACAGAAAATCGACGTTAGGAAGTCTCGAACAGGAAATTTGCCTGAGCTGACCAGTTTCTTGACCACAAACGATGCTATGCCTGTTGAGGATGTAGCAAACTTTACAAACACAGATTGGGTGGGGTTTAGACAACAAACCCCTAGCTACAGGCAGACAGCCCTCCGGAAGCGTAACATGAACCTGAGGCACGTTCTTTTGGTGTGTACATGAGACACAGCTATGTTGCACGAAGGTGGCTAGCTCAGTTAGTGATGCCGCTCTCTAAGCCAGGCCTCCTCATCTCCCTCGGCAGTGAAACCGCGCTTCAGCCTGCCCACCAAGATGCGCCGGCGAGTCCTGGAGCAGCCAGTGGGCTCCTCAGTACGACTCAAGTGCCTGGCCACTGGGAATCCGGAGCCCATCATAATGTGGTGGAAGGACCAGACCCGGCTAGCAGGTCCCCGCCCGGGCCGCCGGCCACAGTGGACCCTCACGTTGAAGAACCTGCAACCACAGGACAGCGCTAAGTACACCTGCCATGTCTCTAACGCAGCCGGGAACATCAACGCCACATACAAAGTGGACGTCATTGGTGAGCTTGCCGTGATTTCCCTCTACTAGGCAGCAGTCATTGCTTTGCTGTCATTGGACAATTTACTGACTGCCCACCCCCCTCTCCAGAACGTACCAATTCCAAGCCCATGTTGACAGGCACCCACCCGGTCAACACCACGGTGGACTATGGGGGGACTGCCTCCTTCCAGTGCAAAGTGCACAGCGATGTCAAGCCTGTCATCCAGTGGCTCAAGAGGGTGGACCCGGGCATGGAGGGACGCCACAACTCCACGCTGGAGGTCGGGGGGCAGCACTTCATGGTTCTGCCCATGGGGGAGGTGTGGTCTCGGCCCGACGGGTCGTACCTCAACAAATTGGCCATCATCAAAGCGCGTGACGAGGACGCTGGGATGTACATCTGCCTGGGCGCCAACACTATGGGCTACAGCTTCCGCAGTGCCTATTTAACCGTGCGGCCGGGTAAGTGTGGGAAAGGTGGACCTCTAGTGGGCTCCAGCACATTCTGAAGTTACATACATTATAAGAGGGTGTTTTCAGCGATAAATTTGAAAGTTAATTGTTCATGGATAGCTATATTCATAAGCTTAGCTAAGAGAGCAGGTTTATGGGCAGGTGTGGATCTGCCTACTTTCTGAAGACCTCCTGTCTCCCGGCTCAGACCCCCAGGTGGAGAATACGGTGACCCCCCCACACCTGAGCTCCGGGCTACCCTGGCCACTCATCATCGGCATCCCCGCGACCGCCCTCCTCATGGTGGGCACCATCGTACTCTGGCTGTGCCACACCCGCCGTCACCATGGCAACCTGCCACCGCGTGGCCCCGCCCCCGTTCACCGGGACAAGGACCCCGTGGGCTGCACGACCCCAGACTACCCAAACCAGAGACTGTTGGGTGTGGGGTCCGCCATGCCGGGGGGAACCCCCAAGGTCTACTCCAGAGTGTACACTGACATGCACACCCACATGCACACACACACGCACTCCCACGCCCACACAGATGGCAAGGTGCACCAGCATTTCCACTACCAGTGTTAACCCCGCCCACCCCTTGGCCCCACCCTCACACCTCTGCTGTCCCTCTGACCCCTGACCTCATGATGGGCGGAGCTCAGGACAGTCTGTCTGGTCCTGCAAGCCTGATCAGGATCTGGACAGACACCTAAAGGGTCACATCCTGAGAGGTCAGTTGGGGGTGAGGTTGTTTCCCGTGTTGATGAACCCAAACAGAAAGTTTCGAGTTGTCTCAGGGCTGGGATACATTCTCACAAGTGTTTGATTCTGACGTGTTATTTTTTTCACCAGAACCGCACCGACCCAGGAGGTGAATGAAACGTTAAGTTTGTTTGCACCTCACAGAGAATCGGTGCCCTTAATGCAGAAATGTTCTATTAATTGTTCTTATTACTAAAAGAGGTTTGTGTGTCCAAAGCAGGTTCGTGCATAAGATGCCATGTAAGTGTTTTGCAATCTGGAAGCTGTGACTGCGATCGGTCCCTTCACCTGTTCCTGGTGGGGTGCTGGAGGGTGCCGCCTCATGTCAGAGAATCTAAACAGGTGAACGGGGAAGCAGGACGGAGCCTTTCATTCTAACCCCCAGAAGTTTCCAGATGTGCCCAGTTGTGTCTGATAAATGCAGTATTACCAAATTGCATATTCTGTGACTGAAGTGCCATTTTCTCACATGTTAAAAGTATATAAAGCTATTATATACATTTCTTATTAGATTTGTATTTTATTTAAAATTTTGGGACACATTGTATTTTTATATCTGCTGTTATTAGTTATCAGTCTATTCTGTTGTCTTTGTTTTTTCAGAGATAGGAAACAGATACGACCATGGGTGTAAATTATGGGGGGGTGGGGGGCTGTAACCAAAACCAACCAATACAATCCCCTGGATCCCCTTAAATGGGTGGAGAACTCTAACCCCCCCCCCCCCCAATACTCAGCCCAAAGCTATGGCCTTGGATATGACAGTGATGTCTGTCATTTTGTTTAAAAACGACTTTTCTGGACCAAAGTCTGATGTTACAGCCGTAAAAACTGAGCAGTGAATAAGATGTGAAATAAATGGACCGTTTTATGCCGTTAAAGGTTATTTATTGCGTTTGACAGCAGCTGTATGTCGTGTTCATGCTCAGTACTTCTTACCAGCGGTCTGTTTTAGGTTCAGAAGTCTGTCACGGGCATTAAAGCCTCTCAGCGGTTCTTGATGTAATGTTACTAATGGCTTGTAGCACAATCCCACCAAGAAACACACTGTTTGTCTCTCAGCATTGCACATGAAATATTTTTCTAATAAAAACCTTTTTATTCCTGTCGTCTCTGATTGCAAGTGATCAATCGGTCTACAGGCCTACTATTATTACGATTAATAAGAAACCATGCAAATTAAACACAAACACGTAAAAAACTGAACATATCCTTGGCGTCCAGTTGCTTGTTTGCAGTGTACAGTAATAAAATCGAAACGATTCACTAAGATGCTGGTGTGTGTCTGGGGGATTCGCCATGCTATGGATTCCCTGGGCAAGAGTCTCCTGGTGCAATGTTAGTCTAACCTAGTCAGGCGTAAGAAAGCCATGCTGTGGTCTTAGAGGATAAATATTACCAAAGGCGTGTTAGGAGCATCAAAAGCAGGCAGATTTACAGGGAGGTGGTACACTTCATTCTGTTTTTCCTGAGGAAAAGTGAGCCACCCAGTTAAAGCTTCCAGCTGACCTTAACTGTGTGGGGATAGAGGCTCTGGATGAAGGGGGCTTCAGAGAGAAAGTGTGTGTGTGTGTGTGCGTGTGATGAGAGGGTTTCCGATGGGTCCCTTCGGTGGCCAGTTCAGTCCATCCGACGACACCCCTGGTGTTGACGTGACCTGGTAACTTTGCCCGTACTGTGTATGTACAGCCTCCATTAAACAGTCATAATTCTGTCCTCCGTGTTCAGTTCAGCTTTGGACCATCGCAACTCAAAGTGGGTATGTGCTGGTCAAAAACTGTTGGGGCTTGGAAAAACAAATAAAAAAAAAGTATATGTTTAACATACATAAGAAAATTTGAGGAACCACAGCAAAAATTTCAGTTTCACTCATTTCTCAGTTTATGGTTATGCTTCTGTGGAAAATACACGTTTTTTTGGGTTTTTTTTGCAAGCTCCAGCCTGGTTCTTCCCTGCTTCTCATTGATGAGGCTCCTTCCTTGCTTTATGGATCTTCAGTCCTGCTTCTAGAAGCCTGACATGAACTGTCCTAGCAGTGCTCTCCACACCTGTACTTAATGTTTCCCCTTCTTTTTGAAGGTCACTTGATGTCATCCTCCAGTTTAAGAGGTACTGCCAGATAAGTTGACAGTCATCTCTGGCATTAGAAAGTTGCTTCTGCTCTCTACCTGGCTGGTTTAGGTCGTTCCCAGTGTCTCCTGCTTCACGCTGTTCTTGTGTACTGGTGTCTTAGAAACTTTGAGCCTGGAAGCAGTCTATCTCGCAGAGTAGCCTTCTGCCAACAGAACCAAGATTAAACCAGGATTTTAAAATGCAGATTTTTTTTCGAATATGGAGTGGTCTCTTATTTTTTTCCAGACTTGTAGGCCTATTTCAAGAGCAGGGACTGGTATCACATTGCCGTATATCTTGATTAGCTGAAAAATTTATTCCAATGGACTTCAACCATTCATTTATCCGGATACTAGATGATACTGGTCCCAAGATCTGTGAATGTAAATAAAAGCAGGATTTCTGACAACAACACAACAATAAAAAATAATATTGATAGCAGGAGTAAATTATATGGCATATATATCCATACAGATAATAGATTAGGAGAAGTAGCGGAGTTCTGTCTTTTCTCCAGAGAATAATGTCAGGGAGCTGTAATTGTGAATTGCATGCAGTCTCGGCGCCACCTAGTGACTGATGAGTGCAAAAAGTAGGAGCCCGAACAGAATAATGATCACATTTATTTTTACGCCTCATGCAATAACCATGATTAATTGTGATATAATCGAAAAAACGTATTTGACAAAACTACTGCAACCAGTCGTTTCTTCACTCTTCATAACTTCAACTTAAACTCTTATCGGGATACCTCCAGCCTCACGTGAAACTCGCAACTTTGATTTTTAACTTCCTTCAAGCAAGGCAGAAGAAATGTACGTTGCAATGGCCTTACTATATTCTAAAATTGCGTTTAAAATCCCGTCACAACAATTTGCGTCTACGATCTGTTATCTTGACAAAGTCAAATACATTTATTAATTATATTACATTTGTATTTTTTTAAGTTACAAGACTAATTTTTCAAACAGCACACCATACAGCAACGGAGCACTAATAAACACCACCTGAATGAACTAGTTATTGTTTTTGTGTGTGTGTGTGCGTGCGTGCGTGTGTGTGTTATGCGAGAAAGAACCAATGAAAGATCAGCGGTGCTGTAGCGCCGCCTCGGTCATGGGTCACGTGACGTAAGGGGCTGGGGAAGCCGATAGCGGAAGTGCGTCTATGAGCCGCGGCCGGAGCGCATCAGGACCCTGAAGTTAGCCTGCGAGCAGCCGGACGGGCTGAAGCCGAGGCTGACGGAGCCAGTTCGCGTCCCGGTAGTTAGGACGGGTCGCTGGACGTTGGAGACAGTGTGCCGGAGCTTTTCATTAAAACAGGGGGGATCCCTGGCGGCCCCGGGGATGTAGCTAGTGCTATCTTAGCGGAGTGCCTGTCTGCGCGCAGCGGGGTACAAAGGCGAGGTGTCGGGCTGAGCAGCCACGGGACCCCGGTTCTCTGCACCGGGTACAGCCGAGTTTACGCCTCGTTTGTGCGTGTGTCTGACCTGGCAGACATTGTGGTTTGACGCCCTCTTCAGAAAGCGGTGGCCGCAGCTGATGCTGCTGTGAACGGCAAGGTAACGGACCACCGGGGCGGAAGGACCTCTCGGGGTGTGATGTACCATGGGTTTCGGTACCGGCGGTAGGCCGCGTGCTGCCCAACGGGATCGCGTTGGCTTAAGGTTAGGTCCAGAGTGATAAGCCGCAGTTGCAGACCTAGTGAGATAGCTGCCCTAACTGATGAACGTAGGGATATGTGAACGGACCGCTCTGTTTAGCGATGCTGCTGCGATTCAGTGTCTAGTCCAGGGGACAGCCGGAGTCCCCACAGCTGCCACCATTTGCCCATGTTTTTTGTGAGCCTGAGTTACGCGGTTTGTCACGGTGTCAGTGGCATGGTTCTCCCACAGGTGTATTCGTGCATGCTGGCGTGTGACTGGGTGAAGGGGACTTGAGTTGGCTTGCCTCTCCGTGCCTGAGTTGACATGACGGGCCCCAGGAGGAAGTCCACCAAGACGCAGGGTGGTGGCGGCGGAGGGGCGGAGCCTTCCTGGCAGGAGGAGCCAAAGGACTACATGAACGAATTGTCCCATGAAGTGCTCTGCCACGTGTTCCGGTGAGTTTTAGCAACCCAACACTGGGAATGGAAGCCACACACCCAGGTGGCCTAGTGATGTAGGTGGTAATGCCCGTTCCTCCTTTCCGTAAAGGTACCTCCCCATGCAGGACATCATGTGTATGGAGTGCCTATCACGCAAGCTGCGGGAGGCCGTAACACTGTACCTGCGCGTGGTGAAGGTCGTGGACCTGTGTGCCAGCCGCTGGTGGGAGTACATGCCCTCGGGTAAGAGCTGGCTTACAGCCTGGCACCAATGACGCTAGCAGTGGGGCGGGGGCGCATACGTCTGACTGCTCTGTGCCTGCAGGCTTCACAGACTCCAGCTTCCTCATGCTGCTGAAGAAGATGCCGGACCTGGAGCAGCTGTACGGCCTGCACCCCCGCTACCTGGAACGCCGGCGCGTGCGTGGCTACGAGGCTTTCAGCATCCCGGGGGTCCTGGAGGCACTGCAGGCCTGCCCGAACCTGCTGGTGAGCTAAGCTTCCAGCACCCTCCAACTGTCAGGGCCACAAAGCACTGGAGCTGAAATATTCTGTTCCATTGACAGAGAAGCTGGTTTCTTAAAACCTCTCTGAAGAGGTGCCTGGGGTGTGTTCCCTCTCCAGGGTGTGGAGACCTCTCACCTGGAGCTGGTGGAGGCCATCTGGAACTACATGCCACATGTTCATATCCTGGGCAAGTTCCGGAATCGCAACGGGGCTTTTCCCATCCCACCGGAGAACAAGCTCACCATCCCAGTGGCAGCCAAGATCCAGACCCTGCATCTCGTAGGTAGGTCCCAGAAGCTGCGCCCCTGGATTCTCACTCAGCAGACAGGAGCTGCTCAAGCATGTGGGCTTCCTATCTGCAGGCGTGAATGTGCCTGAGATCCCCTGCATCTCCATGCTGAAACACCTCTACCTTAAGTGGGTCCGCCTGACCAAGCCGCAGCCATTCAAGGACTTTCTGTGCGTGAGCCTGCGCACCTTCGTGATGAGGAACTGCGCCGGGCCCACCAACTCGCTCAAGTACGTGCCTCTGGTCACGGGCCTGGCGTCTGCCCGCAACCTGGAACAGCTGGAGCTTGTGCGGGTGCCCTTCCTGGGGGGGCTCATCCAACACGTAGTGGAGGATAGCTGGAGGTCAGGTGAGGCACTGGGCGGCCGGGGGTGCTTCTGTAGGGCTTCTGGAATGTCCAGGTGTGTTGGGGACATTCCACAGATGCAGAGGGGAAAAGGACCTCTCAACCGAGCCCCGTGGTCCAGGTCCGAGCTAGCAAATGCTTGTCTCCAGTGGTATTTATGTCGTCTTTTTTTTTTTTTTTTGCTGATCCAGGAGGCTTCCGTAATTTGCACACCATTGTCTTCGGGGCTTGTAAAAACGCCCTTGAGGTCGACCTAGGTTATTTGATCATCACTGCAGCTCGGAGGTAAGTGGGCCAACGGCCCGTGGCTGGGGTTGACGTGACCCCAAAAGATGTAGCTGGTGGGCGGATGGATGGAAGCTTAGTGCTCTCTGGGCTTTTCAGGCTGCATGAGGTCCGCATCCAGCCCTCGCTGACCAAAGACGGCGTCTTCTCCGCCCTGAAGATGGCCCAGTTGGAGTTTCCTCAGTTTGAGACGTTACACCTGGGCTACGTGGACGAATTCCTGCTTCAGTGTGAGTACAGACTTCCATCTGCTCCTTTATGCTTCGTGAAGCTCCTTCCTCCACTTTTTGGAAAGAAGTGAGCTCATCTTGGTGTCCATATCGGCAACCCATCCTGTCAAAGATCATTCATCACTAGCATTTGGGGCTAGGGCATCAGAACGGGCTACTTCAAAGACTGCTTCGGTAGTGCTATTAAAATAGCTTCACTTGATTCCTGGAGTTATTTTAGTGTTAGTGTTGGTGTTAGTGTTAGTGTAGCTGCCTTGGTTTGCTGGGTGTATACAAAACAAGAGCAGCGTGGGCAGCATGACGGCCAGAATCAGTATCACACTACAGAAATCAGCCTGCCGAGGCAGGGTGTTGGACGCGTGGGCTGGGTGATGGAGAACTCTCCCTTGCCTAGCCAGCAGTGTCTCGGATTTACACGGGCGTTGCGTGGCTCGAGGTGTTCATAGCAGTTGTGGACCTCTAAAGGTTATGGCAGAAAGTGCCCTTTGACATAACCAGGCCCCACGTTTTTTTTCTGATGGAGGAAAACAGAGCATAAAATTCCTACAGTCAGTGTTCTGCTTATCTTAGTTTATTATACCTCCTGTACCTCTAGGATTTGGGTTATGGTTTAGTCTATCTGTATCAATTTTCTAGAATCAAGATTGCAATATTTAAGAAAACACCCTCCCCCCATCCAATGATGCTCAGATGTTGAATTTATTACTGTGTGTGCTGTAATTTGCTGTGAAGCTAATTGCCTGTGAAACGGCCCATAACTGAAAGGACATTTTTCATAATGAGTCTTTCATGTTGGACATGGTGACTGACCCATAGTTGGTGATGGCATGTTGTGGTTGATAGTTTGGCCTGTGAACGTTTTTGGATGAAATCCCACAAGGTGAGCTGATGGACCTTTGAGCAGACTGCCACAGAGCCGGTGAGATGTTCAGAGTTCCTTTCACAGGTAAGATGAGCCACTCGGGGCTGGTGAAGTACGGCCTCGCGGACGTGATCGAGAATCCCGGGATCATCACGGACATTGGGATGAAGGCGGTCAATGAGGTCTTCTCTTCTATCAAGCACCTGCTGGTCTACAACTGTCCACACCTCCACAACCCCCACAGCTGGATCACAGGTGATCCCCCCCCACCCTCCCTCCCTAGGGGATCTGATCGGGAATTTAACAGAGCAGGTTTTAGGGAAAAGCGCACCCCGTTTACTTGGCCCCAACCCCCTACCCCCCCACCCCCCCAGATCATTCGCGCTGGAGCAGGCTGGTGGACCTCACACTAGTACGGTGTCACGCCATCCGCCTGGAGTCCTTCAGCCAGTTTGTTGAGATGCTTCCCAGCTTGGAGTTCATCTCGCTGGACCAGATGTTCCGAGAGCCGCCCAAGGTAAGCCATAGGGGATTCATGTGGAGTGAGGGGCTCTGGGATCGCCGTGTGACTGCCGTGTGGCTCGTCTCCTCTGCAGGGCTGTGCACGGGTCGGTCTCAGTGCTGGCACTGGGATCGGGGTTTCCTCGGCACTGGTGAGCAACCAGAATTCAAACAACGAGAATGACAACAATAACAACGCCAACGCAGACGGCGAGGAGGCGCTGGTGGGCGGCAACGAGCACGGTGGGCACGTCGCCCACGAGGTTGGCCAGGCCCCCCCGCCACAGGACCATGCTCCCAGTACGACTTGCATA